GGTGACCGGAGCGTCGCGTCATCGCTCCGACACTCCGGAATATTCTGCAGCTCCCTGCTGTTTATCTGTGTTTATCCTCAGCAGGAACACTGAGAGGGAGAGGAACGCCGCTGGGAACAGAACGGCGGTGACCTTGATGCTGCTGCTGGACCGTAGTCTAAATAAGACCGAGTGTTATGAGAAACCGATATGAGGTCAAAGGTCAGGGAGAGGCTGTAAAGTTAGCATCAGATTGAATTTAAAGCTGAGACGTTTCCGCGGTTACTTGAGTTTCACCTGTTCGCCGTCCACCTTGAAGCTCTTGTACTCAGCGTAGCGCTCGTTCCCCTCAAAGTCCTCCATGTTGATGCGCAGGTCATAGTTCCCTAAAACACAGAAAGCATCAGACACACACACACACACACACCTCGTGCCTATGGTAGGACAACTTTTGTTCGTGCCCCTGGTACACTGCGCAGAAACACCTTGCCAGACAGACAGACAGACAGACAGACGCACCTTGTGATGTCAGATGGTGCAGGGGTTCATTGCCCAACCAGAACTCTCCAGCAGGAGAGAAGAGGTCTCCGAATCCATGCTTGTACTCCACCCACGCTCTGCGCACACACACACACACACACACACACACACACGATGACACATTTGTTTGCACTGTTGCAGTGTTCACGTGTGTAAAGGTGACACACCTGTCGAAGCTCTCTTTGCCGTCTCTCCTCCTCTGGAAGACGGTCCACCCTCCTCCGTGGTTCATGTCGCAGTACACGCTCAACGCCATGGCAGCACCGTCCGGGCGAATCACGTACAGCCCGCTGGCCACGTTTCCATCCTCAAACACCTCAGAGCAGTCTACACACACACACACACACACACACACGCTGTGACGCTCTGTGTAGACATGTTTGTTTTCTAGATAAAGGAAAGCTTCCGGTGCTGACGATGTAGGTTCGACCCACACGGTGGATGCAGTCGTACCTCTGTAGAGGTCGTCCAGGCCCAGGTACGAGTTGGGGATCTGCTGCAGCTGCTGCGCCTGGCTGCTGTGGAGCTCCTGGATGTAGCGGTGCTGCTCACTGATCACGTTCATCAAGCCCTGGATCTCCGCTTCCAGCCGGCTCACCCTCTCCTCACACGGCACCGGCGCCTGGACAGGAGCATAAAAACGCTCTCCTCTGGCACTCGGCAGTAACGAAGAAGGTATGAGAGGATCATTGTTGTCCTCATCAGTGTTTCTGTGATCTACTCTAAATCCTGACTGAAGCTCGTCACAGCAAACACTCCCATGAAAACACCTGAAACCCTGATTTATGAGACAGTTTCAAGGACTTTAAAAATGAAATCATTTAAGTTTCTGTCTATGAAACTCCTGCAGAACTGCAAATGCTTTGATATTAATAATTACAAATGCAGTTTGAAATAAATCCATATTTATGATGCTGAAATCGAGTGAAGCTGCGAATATAAATGATATAAAAGCCAAGATTAAAGACTCATCTTATAAACACTGATGCCTCACCTGCAGCGTGGAGGTAAAGGTCAAAGGTTATTGGGATTACTTTTAGTAAAGGTACTTTTTGTAATCGCCTCATGCAGATTTGAATGAAAACGTTCACCAGCAGGGGGCAGCGTGTTA